TCAGCTTCCTCCGCGGGGCGGCTGCGATCGCTTCCGTCTGTTATCTGTGAGGAGCCAGGCACGATGCCAGGCGTCTGGCATGCAGCAAGCATTTGCTGCTGCGACGCCTCTGCAGAGGCCTCCCCAGCTGAGACTTGGAAGAGGAGGGGCCAGTCACGCAAAGATCTGATCTGGCGGCTGGGTGTTCCAGGCAGAGGAAAAAGCAAGGAGTAGGTCACGCTAGAATTGCTCTAGAAAACCAGAAAACAGTGCTGGAAGGAGAAGCAGAAGCTCTGAAGGCTGGTGACGTGGGGCCTCAAAATGATGCTACAGTTTAGGCTTTGTTCAGGGTTCTAGGTTTTAGAGATTTTTAAAGAAGAAACCAAATGTTCAGATTTCTGTGTTTAAAATATTCTGGCTGAGGAGAATGGGTTGTCAGGAGAAGAAGGGTATGAAGAGATCACGTAGAATCCAAGTGACCTTGGACAAGTGATTAGGTCTCTCTGACCCTCAGTTTCCTCATCTGTAAAATGGGAGGAAGAAAGCCTTCACTGGAGGCTTCTAAGAATTCAGGATTGATGATGTCAGCACACCCAACATAAAATAGCTTCCCATTCAGTATGGGTCACTGTTTTCTCTCCTGTCTACATGAGGAGGACCCCCAAGAGTTCCTACACGAAGCCAGGCATGGTGGCACACACCTATAATCCCACCATTCAGGAGGCTGAGGCAGGAGGATCACTGCAAGTTCAAGGCCAGCCTGGGCTACAAAGTGAGTCCAAGGCCAGCCTGAACTGCATAGCTAAACCCCGTCTCAAAAAGACAAAGAAAAACAACTGTGCGTTATTCTTCTGTAACAAACTTGGATGGTCTTTGCTATTAAAATTCAGAGACATTCTGAGTTGGTTGCTTGTGATGCCCAGACACATTCCCTGCCGATTTTAACGAAGTGTCACATATATGTGTGACGGCAGCACTTGAGAATTTCCCTCTGCTGGAAGCTCACCCTCTGTGAAGATGTGGCCAGCTGTCCTGTGGGCAGCGGCTGTCCCCAGGGAGGAAGCTTGTAATAAGCCACGAGTGAAACTGCTGCTGTGCATTTCGCACAGCTGTGGGTGCCCAGTCGGGCAGGTGACCATGAAAGCCATTGTTCTCTGGGGGAAAAAATCTCTGTGTTTCACAATGGACAAACCCACCAGGACGCCTCTGCGGAGCAGCTGCCTTGTGCAACAGCTGCGCTATGCACAGACACACGCTGTCTTACTTCTAGAGGCTGCGAGTGTTTCAGGGGACTCCTCTTTCCCATGAGAGTGCTTTGAATGTGGTGAACAGGAGTTGTGGTGGCTAGCTGGAGGGGGAAAGAGAGAGAGGGAGAAGGAGAGAGGGAGGAAAGGAGGGAGAGGGGAAGGGAGACAGAGGAGGGGAGAGAGAGAGGGAGAGGGAGAGAGAGTTCCTTTCATTTTTTGAGGAGCTGGGAATCAAACCTAGGGCTCTGCACATGCTAGGTAAGCACTTCACTGAGCTACATCCCCAGCCCTAAAGTGTAGAGTTTGAAAAGGTGAGATCGTGACTATCCTGCAAATATAAAACGAATTCATGCTAAGGATTTTAACCAGTTGGTTAATCAATGAGCAAATCATGAAGATGTTAAACCACCTTCAAGAGGACATGTTCACAAATAATTTCAATAAGGAGTATCAGGATATGCAGAGCTATTTATAAAAGTCCTACAAGGTAATACATTGCAACATTTCATTTTATCTTTTCCTACTGGACAGAAGTTTTTTGCCTCTTAAACTAGAAAAAAAAATATATGGAGTAGCCTGCAACCTCACTGTGTCAGGACCTTTTCAATCCTCTTTATAAAATTCTCAGACCTACTTTCACCCTTCCTTCATCTTTGCTGGATTCTCCAGGGTCAGCAGCCCCGCTCGTGTAGAAATGTAAAGCCACTGCCCGCACGTTCGGGGCCAGTGCCTGAGAGGACACACCAGTGAGGCTGTGCACTCCCATCCTGGATGTCTTGGTGGTCATTGTGAAACCTTCCAAAGAAGGCTTCCTTCTTCCTCTGCCGTAGATGGAGATAAGGGCTCTCAGCTTGGTGCTGTGGCTTTTTACCTCCCGAGACTTGTAACGAGGGGCATCCAGCCCTCAACCCTGGCTCTCCATCAACTCCTAGGCAGTGGTGGCGAACCTATGGCATGCACGCCCCTGCAGGTTGTTTGTATTGTATCATTAAAGGCTCTGAAAGGTTCGCCATCACTGTCATAGGTGCCGGCTGGACTCGGGGATGCAGCCGAAACCAAGGAAAGGATGGGCCCTGGCGCTCGCATACTAGTAGGAAGCAGACACTGAATGGTGATTGTACACTCAGGGAGTTCAGTACCAACGTGATGAGCATGGACATGGAAGGGTATTGAGAAAGAACAGGTGGGTGAGGACTAGCTTGGTTGGGGAGAGTGTCAGGGGATCCTTTTTTTCCTAAGGAAATGACACGAGGATGAGTCCAGCAAGATGTGAGATTTCACTGGGTGAAAAGCCGCTGCCTGTTGTAAGGTAGAAGAAACAGCAGGTGTGAAGGGTCAAACTCCTAAGAGGGTAGCACTTATCGTGGGCTGATGAGGAAGCGAGACCCAGGAAGCTGGAAGCGTGGGCAGGAGCAAATCACACAGGGCCCTGACGGTTTGGGCAGAGTTTGGTCTTCACGCAGAAGCAACTGGGGAGCCACTGAAGGGGCGTGGAGAGGGAGTGGAGTGATTGAAGTTTGCATTTCTGAGCACTCAAGTACCGGGGTTCTGCTGCGCCTAGCAATACATGTTTGCTGGCTTGAGAAAGGAGCGGGAACCTGGCACGGAGAAGGGCAGCTGAAGTCAAGTAACTCTAACCAGTTCTCTGCTGCTGTTATGGCTCGTGTCTGGATGTCCCCCCAGATGCTCATATGGTCAAAAGCGGGGCTTTTTCAGAGGTGGTTGGATCTAGAGTGTGTGACTGATTCATGGTGCAATGCTGGGATTGAGGGTGGTGATCCCTAAATCACCGATTGGCTTAGTACCACCCTAATCCCAGTAGCGTGAATACAATGTAAGGGGCAGAAAGAGGCTTGTTTTGCTAACTTCAGCCCACCATGAACTATTTCTCCTCTGCAGTGCCCCTCTGCCGTACCACCCTTGGAGCCAGCTGATAATGGACTGAAACCTCCACAAACTATGAGCTAAATAAACCTTTCCCCCTTTAACTGTGAGTGTCAGGTATTTTGTCTCAGCAACAAGAGAAACATGACAAAGACAGCTACTCAGTCTTGTAAACTCACTGGACTCAAAAGTAAAAGCTTCACATCATCCCTCTCAGTTGATGATTTCTGGTTCACCATGAGGAGGAAAGAAATCTCCTCATGCAAGAGTGGCGTGTCACAATGCACATGCCCATAACGCTTCAGGACGCTTTACCTTTTTATAAAATAAGGTAAAATGGGCGCAGCAGGGAGGTGACCATCTTCCCAAGTTGCACAAAAAGCAAAAATGACAAAAATCAGAGCAGGGAGGCCAGAGCTGATTCTACTGTTTCTAAGAATGAGTTAAGGAACATTTTACTTTTCCTTGGCAAAGACTTTAAGCAAAGTGGTACCATCCGACAAAGAGCTCATACCCAGGTAGGTGAAAGTGCAAGGAAATGGGCAGGCTTTTCCGGTGGGAGGAACTGTGAGTTGATTGAAATCTTATGCAAGCGTTTGTGACAGCAAAGGAGAGGCCCAGGGGCTTTTACTCTGCCAACGTCCACGGAGAAGTTTATCCACGGGCAAGAAGGAGGGGAGAAGCCGCTGTGTAGCTGGAAAGATGATCATCTCGGCCTTGTCTGTCATCACTGAAAACTAGAATTAGCTAAAATGTCAGAAACCACGCACTATTTAAGAGGACACTGTGTGTGTCACCTTTTCTGTTGCTAGGACAAAATACCTGACATGCACAACTTAAGGAGGAGCGATTTGGGCTCAGGTTTTCAGACATTTTGGTCCCTAGTCGGCAGGCTTCAGGTAGAAACATCAAGACAGGTGGGTGCAGCAGAGGAAAGCTTCTGGCTTCCCAACCCCTACGAAGGAGAGAGAGAGTCAGAGACACAGGAAGAGGGGAGACCAGAAGTGCCCTTCAAAGGCGCACCCCGCCCCACACCCCTGACCTACTTCCTCCAGCTGGGACCCGCTCCCAGCGACGCATTCAGCTACAAAGGGAGAAGTTGATTACTTTAAGGCCAGACAAGTACATTGCCTTCGTGTAATTGCAGTGGCAAGTTTTGGATAAGGAGGGGCTCAATAGTCACTGGCATGGCTGGCAGGTATTTTTTAGGGAGGCTGTCTGGTTTCCTGAAAGAACATGGGTTAAAGAATTAGGAAACCTGGCTTTTAATTCTGGCTACATAACCATAAGCAAGTCACTAGCCCCCTGATTCTTTTCATTTATGGTGAATGAGTATATATATATATATATATGTCAGCCCATTTAATTC